ATGTTATTTCATTTAAATGGATTAGCCCGTCGGCTATTCTTAATAGAACCGTATATTAATTAAATACCGTATTAATGACACGGGTTTTCTCTATTTATCCAGCAAATGAACCCACCCAGGCCGATACACGCATCAGACATCCATTATACAATTTTTTATTTATGACTTATCTTTTTGCTACATCACTTCGACCTGACCAAACAAATCAATACAACTACTCTTACTTTTTATATTACATAAGTATGCTTTGTCGTTTAATCATTCGCATAGCTCGACCTGACATACTTGCAAAAATTTCACTTTCGATGTGCGTCCATCGTTGGGCACGCTTGCAGCCAAACTTGCATTTTTCATAATACCCGTTTGACCTCCATTCCTAATGTGCTTAAAGTGGCTATTTAAAAAATCTCAGACAGACATTATTTGAATTCACTGTAATGCCGAATGCAGTCGGTCTTCAGTTGCGAATGGTAATAGAATTAATTAAATGACTTTGCCGTACTTATCAAAAAAAAATTAAACAAGTTTTTTTTTTGTACGTTTTGTATGAACGTCTAGCTTGGCGAAAAAAACTGGTTTAAAGAAAATGTCGCTATGAATATTAACGGCTTTAGTTCTTTTGGGAATTGATTACTTAACGCATATGCAAGTTCTGAAAAAAGTATCTATAATAGAGCAATAAAAAATTTTTTCATTTGGAGAGATAAAATGCAAAAAGGCTACCACTATTCATCAACTAGTTAGACAAAAAACCCTTCATTCAACTAGCTGTAAACATGTATCAAAGTTTAAATTTGCACAGTTTTTACAAATAATGAAACGTTTTGAGTCGGTTTCATGAGATAAATATGCATAAGATAAATATTTTTGCTATAATACACAAAATGAAGTAATATGAACTTGTTTAAGACGCGGTTAAAAAAACTTGTTAAAGAAGGTGTTGAAGTTATCAGTTTTATTTATTTATTCAAAGTTTTTAGGAGTATTTATCAAGCAAATGCCAAAGGATTAGATCAAAACTCAAAACTATTTAAAATAGAATTAGATATATATATAAATAATCTTTATTTCCTACAGAAAAAGGCTATCGACCCAATTGGTCTTTCTGCCCTTGTTTAGTATATATGTGCCTTAGCCTAGCTTATTCTAAAATTAATTCCTATTCCTAACGTTCGTATAAATTAATCAGCTAT